CGAAGTGCATGCATATTGTTAGGAATTGGAAACTGGAAAGGGAAACAGAACGGCTCGATTCGCCTCGACAATCGAATTGATTACTGGTCAATGTCGTAATATTATTATGTAGCTGCGTGTGCATACCAACACTGGCGACCGAACAGGCTACTCTCGAACCCGTTCAATTCATACGTATGCTAAATAAACTAGATTATTCCGAATACGTATTATCAAACAAAATATTTGGATTAATCCGAATGTTTCAATATTCAGCGGATTCAAAAAATATTTTAATATGTATTTTTACAACACTAGTGTGAAAATATCTGCAGATCGTTAAAAACGAACGGCATCTGCGGAGGTAAGTGTCCCGAGGCTTGGACCGACTTGAGGGCCTGGGTGAGTCGGTGTAGACTTTGGATGAAGGAGGGTGGGTCGGCGGACGGGTGGCTCCTATGGTAAAGAATTCCCCGGGTACCCTGAGTGTCGTACCGTAGAGCATCTCGGCTGGAAAGACTTTAAGATCTTGCTTAAAAGATGTGCGGCGAACCAAGAGGACAGAAGGCGGAGCTTCCGGCCAAAGGACGCCAAGGCAGCACACGAGGCTAGCCTTGAGGGTTCGGTGGAAACGTTCCACCATCCCATTGGATTGTCGGTTGTAAGGTGTTGTCCTAATACGGTTTGAGCCGATCATCTTGGCTAGCTCTGTGAAGAGGGCTGCTTTGAACTGAGCCCCCTGGACGACTTGAGCTCTGTCAACAGTGAAAGCCTGCTGGTCCTGTATGGGGACGACGGCGGGCCATCTGCTGAACTAGTCTATGATAGTCAAGCAGTACTGGAAGTCCTTGGTAAATGAAAGTTTACCAAGCCTACATGGATGTGGTTGAAACGACTGTCCGGTGTGTCGAAGTTGCCCAGAGTTGTACCATTGTGTCTATGGACCTTCGCACGCTGGCAGAGTTCGCATTGTTGGGCCCAACAGGTTGTGTCGCTGCGCATCTTGGGCCATGTGAATTTCTCGGCTAAGAGGCGTACTGTTGCTGTGGCGTTAGGATGCGAGAGGTTATGCAAAACTTTGAAAGCGGTCTTGCAGAGCTTCTTGGGCAAGTACGGCCTCACGTTCCCTATTGTATGCGGTGGTCGTAAGCGGGTGCAGGGCAAAGCAGGGGTCTTCGAGCAGATGTTCGAGTTCGGTGTCGACGGTTGGCAATGACATTCAGCCCCAGGATTGAGCATGGTCACGGCGTTGATACACCAGAGTGCGTCGGCTACCACGTTTTCCTCATTTTTGACATGAGAGTGGGTTACCTGTTGCTGCAGGATGTAATCAAGATGTCAGATCTGTTTAGCTGAGGCCTTGCCCGAGCTTTGGCGGCCTTGAAGAGTGACTTGTGGTCCGTAAAGACTGTCAACGGGCGTCTTTTTAAAATGCGGTCGAATGTCTTGATGGCCGCGCAGATCGCCAGCAGCATTTTGTCGTAGGCGGCGTAGAGTTGTTTGGTCTCGGAAAGCTTAATGGGAAAAACCCGAGTGACCTCAGGTGTCATGTGGGTACTCCTGCTCCTTCTGTGGGAGGCGTCGGTTCTCAGGGCGATTGGGGCATCGGACCTGAGGAATGTTGTGGCCGCCATCGCAAAGGTGTCTGCATTGCTGGAAGGCGGCGTCGGCCTTTAGTGTCCAGGTAAGCGGAGCCTTTTTGCTCTTGGGCTGGAGGTCCTTCAGTAGACCGTTCAGCGGAGCCATGAAGTGAGCGGCCCTGGGCATGCAGCATCTGTAAAACTTGATCATGCTCAAGAAACGTCGAAGTTTGGATGAGTTCTCGACACAGGCGGAGTAACCGAGATAGATTACTTGCTCTTGGCTGAGGAAGCATTTTTGTGGGTTGATGCGGAACATGACCTTGCGAACGACGTTGAAGACCAGGAGCAGGCACTGGAGATGTTGCTCGAGGTTTTCTGATGCCACAAAGATGTCATCGAGATAGCACCTGGCGAACGGGCCTGCTGGAGTGACTGGACGGCATTTCGTCGATGAGCGAGAAAACCTTCCCCGTAGCCTCTTGCAGCATGTTGTCGATGGTCGGTAGCGGATAGTGATCTGGAGTTGTACCTTAAGGCGATGGTAGTATCCAGTGACTCCACAACCTTCATTGGACTTTTCAACGAGTCGGAGAGGGCTCACCCATTGGCTGGACGAGGGTCAAACGATGCCTTGTTCGATTAGGCACCCGATTTCCGCCTTGGCTACTTACAGACGAGCAAGCGTCGTCGAGGTCGTTAGAAGACCGGAGGGCCTGTCTTGTGGATGGTGAAGTACACGGGCAGGTCTGGAAGTGCCACTGGGGTGGCTTCTAGAGAACAGAGGTCGGTGTACTCTGTGAGATGATCCGCGTAGTGACGATCTAGATCCCCGGGGGGCATCTGCGCAGGTGCCATAAGTACTGACACGCTGTGGATCAAAATCGGCACCGATGATGGCGACCTAGGCGTCGCGACTCGAAGGCCTAGGTTGAGCGACAGGGTATGATTGCCAAATGTGACAATCGACAATTTGACAGCCGTGAGTGTGACTAATTACACTCGGCTCCTGAGGAGTACGATGGAGCCGGCGTCTATCGAGAATTGAGTGCGGGACTTACGGTCGAAAATCTAGAGGCGGTTCTCTGTTGTTGTGGTCCACCCCCGCTGCCTGAGACGGAGGAGGTTCTATTGGTTTCTCGAAGCAAAGGAGAAAGTGCAGTGTTTGCGGCATCTCTCCGCGTCCGCCTCGACTCTTGATGACACCAGCACTGATCCGGATGATTTGCTGGCGTAGTTGATTAGCTGCACTGTCCTCTGCCTCGAGATCGTGAGCGACCTCGAGTGGGCTGCGATGGTTGCTGTCTATGGAGGGCCAGTTGTTTGAGCAGATTTTTAATCTCGGTCATGTCTTGACTGCTAGCGGCTGCTGCCACTGGGCCAACGGTACATCGACCGAGTTGACCTGGGTTGGTGCTTCCAGTTCGTCGGTCATATCACTGAGCCCGTGAGGGAAGCCGCTCTCATGATCCGGAGCATGCAGGTTATCTGTGGGGGAGAAGATCGAACTATGTCATTTTTATGATCTCATCGGAGACCTTGTTCCCGGCTAGGCTCTTTATCTGGTGGAGGAACTGAGACGTCTTTAAAGTTGGCGAGTTGGAGGCTACAAAACAGCTTCCGCAGCTGGACGTCGAAGTAGTCTGCGAAGCGGGCTAAGATGGCCTCCTTTAGGTGTTCGTATTGGTTCTCCGCTGTTGGGTTTATGAGCATATCGCTCAGCTTAGTGATTGTCGGGCGTTCCAAGACAGTGAAGACTGCGAGATACTTGTCTTGGTCATAGGTTACCTCGTTGGTCTCAAATACCGCCTTTTCCAGGGTTCAGAAGGTGGAGGTGCTTACGTGGCTCCCGGCTGGTCGTTGGCTCTTCGAGAGACGGAACAACAATGCTTGGGTAGCTGTATGTGCCCAACACGCACACACTAGTCTGTGTCTAAATTGTCTAATGAGAGGTAGTGAGAACAAAGAGACAATGCTAATGGCCTAGAGCTCCCTCTTGGCTACACTGCTCTGTCGTGGTCTAATACGAGGACGGGCGGGTGGGACACAATTGTTCGGCACGTCGCACACACACACTATCACTCGCGCTTCGAAGAAAGAAAAATCTGGCACGCACCTTAGCACTCGTTGCCGCTGCGATGCTCGACGTGCGAATCAATATGGCGGCGAGGTCCGGTGCGAACTCGAAGGCCGTGCTTTCGTGAATATCTTGTTTCTAGGTTAGGCTTTTCTTTTTTTACATTAGCACTAGGATGGTTGAGCCCGACTTTCCGACCGAGGCAACGACGATTGACGAGAGAAAAAGGCGGTCGGGTGTAAACGACGTCAACTGTGACCTATTGTCCGTTGCAGTTTGACTGATCATTTTTCGTAAGGTACTTCTACTGCTTACCTCTACGAGTAGAATTTTGCAAAGCTTGCACTCGTTGGGAATAGTATTGAAGCAGCAACTGTTCCTTTAAAATTCGCCACACTGTAACCTGGGAGAAGCCAAGGTTCCATGCTATTTCTCGTGTTCTACTTTGGTGGTTGTCTTGTATGAAATAATGGATTTTGTTTTCTACAGGGGCGATATGATACAAGTGTTGACGTTCACGGCCTTTGCATGTAGGGTGTACATTACCCATTATAAATTATACATTATCTTTTAATCTTGTTTCTTATTTGTTAGATTAGATTAAGTGTGATTGATGATGTTTATGTTAAACCTGTGCACAGTAGCTTTTTATTCTTTTAATGTTGTAAACGTGAATGTATGTATTCGACAGACCCATTTTTGAGTTTAATAAATGGATTTTGGATCACGTTACTTAAAATTTCGCTTTCAGGTCTATTTTTGATAACTTGTTCCAAAACGAGCAAGATTTGGTAAAGAGCGAGGGGGTGAATAGTAAGAGGAAAAAGGAGTAAGATGTTCAATTGAGCGAGTTGCGACAATGCTGAACAGCATAACATTTTTTTTCTTAGTAAATACAAAACCTTCAACTTAAAAAAGTAAATTCATATCCGGTTTTACCGCCCCTACAAAAGTGTCGCTCCGGGCAATCGTCCAGTCGCCTGTGTTGCTAAGACGGCCCACTTTCTAATCTATGGTTTATGATTTTCCCCAAGATGTTATATTTTGTAATATCATTATGTACTACCGGTTGCATTACGACAAGAATATCATGATGACAACTAATATGAATTTTTATTTTACATGTAAATATTTATTTACTAAATAACTAACCAATAGACAACCCTCCTTCTTCGCTTTAAAGAAGAGGCTATTTGCCTTTTCTTTGTACAAAGTTAAATTCCCCTTATACAATCCAACGATAATTTTACTACACATTTTGAAGCACTAATTAAAAAACAATTATAAACAGGGAGAGCGTAGGACATTGGCACAGGAGACACTTCCCTTTTTATATTTTGACTTCATTTGACTTGTTTTGACAGTTCTAAACATAGAGTTCTGAATAGAATAATTTTGAGTGTTAGCATGGTGATTCCTTCTAGTGTGCTCTTTGTGTGCTTTATTATTTTTTAGTTTAATAACAGTGTTACATATTATTAAATTGATTTGTTAAAAATTAATCAAGTATAATGTCGCCTACAGATAATACGCCACTTTTAAATACCGGTTCCTTTGAACTTGTTCATTCATTAAAGGCATACGATAAAATTCCAGTTTTTGAATATAAATCTAGAAATACTGGGTTAACTGTTGTTGCTGCAGAAATAGATGGGCCTATTGTATATGGTTATTTTTGTTTAGGTAACTGTTTATTCTTTTTTTTATTAATTAATAATCTATTCCATTTTATAGCCACAGAAGCATTTGATGACGATGGCATTCCACACACTCTTGAGCATTTAGTTTTTCTGGGAAGTGAAGATTATCCTTACAAAGGCGTATTAGATTTGCTTGCCAACAGATGTCTTGCATCTGGTACAAATGCTTGGACTGATGTTGATCATACATGCTACACGATGGAAACCGCAGGGAGTGAAGGATTCTTGGCCCTTATGCCTATATACTTAGATCACATTTTGTATCCAGTTCTGTCAGTAAGTTATTTTATACCTCAAGTTGAGGAGGCTGGTTTATAAACTCAAAGTGGTACTTGGGAATCAGAGTTAAGAAAAGCAACTAATAGTTGGCAGATTAAAGTAGGGTACCAATAGGGTGTAAGGGGTAATAAGATTGGAATGTTCTAAAGATATGAAATACTAACAAATTGAATATAGTCTCAAATCACTGAAGGAGCCTATTCTAAAATTATATATTTATTTTTATTTATATTTATTTGATGACCAATCATAATTTAATATATTTACAGTAAAGAGTATAGCACATTAATATCTCAAGGAGGTGGGACTATATGTCCACTTCTACAAGAGACTGATAATTTACCAACTTACCATAATAAATAATAAAAGACAAAGATCCACTGGAAAGGTTAAGCCATTTAATATACAAAGTCAATTGTAGGGACTGTGACAAATGTTACATAGGACAAACTTCTCAATATCTGTTACATCGCTTTAACCATCTAATTAATACTGCACAGAATCCCGTAACAGTGCACTTGCATACCACAGTTCATACTACAGCCTTCGAGAATGTGTCGGTGCTTCAAACTTGCCACACCACCCAAAAAAGTCTTTGTTTTGGAGATGGCGCATATATACAGAATTAATAAATGCATGAACACAAGAACTGATCACGAGAACCTGAGCACCATGTACTGTTATTTGCTATCTATATGATAAGTTATCTACCACTTTGTGGTTCTTTTCGTTGTTTTTCCACGCGAGGTCGCCATATGGGTCCACTCTTTGCTCTTACTCTAGATTTATGATCACAACTTAAAATTTACTTGTTACCATTTGTAGTTAACCTTCCAGTTGATCTGTTAATGATTGTTTTTGTTTCCTATTTCACCATTTTGTTTGGAAAAATGTAAAGTGATTTTGCCAATATGGTTTGGTAAAAGACAGTCTATTTTTGTTATCTTTTCAGCTTAAGATTACAAATTAAACCATGTGTTGCTCTGTAAAACAAAGAAAGGGCATTTAAAATTTATTTATCGATCTTTATCTATTAAATAAATAAAATTTCTAATATTTCAATTACTCAAATGACTATACAGAGTATACCAACACAGAGTAGAAACAATAATCCAGTAATAGCCAATAACGCTCTTTTACCATTCTTCAGTAGCTGGCGCCATCTCTCAATCACAAAGAAATCCTAGGTCCTAGGTATTCCTTTACATCTCCCCCCTGGGATTAGAAAATTTCTCTGGAAATTTTCATTTCTTCCAATACCCTAATCTTCATTTAATGGCAGGGATAAGTTTTGTAATATGGGAATAGATTTGACTTCATCTTTTTATGTCCTGTATTAATTTTGTATATTGATTGCGATAATCTATCTTCGATTTTAAATGGACCAATTCTTAACTCATCTAATTTTCTTCTATTAAGTTTGTGACCATTTTCGACATATACCGTATCACCTATTTTAAAATCATGGATTGTTCTGTTTTATCAATTAGCATTTTATTATATTTATGTGACTTAATTGTTTCTAATGCAATCCTTCTGTCTCTAATTCAGTCGTCTTAGTCTTTTAATGTTTAAGTTCGTTTGGTATGAATGAAACATCAGTACCATCCAATAGGTACCTCTGTGCAAAGTCAGTTATTGAGTGTTCCGTGTTATATCTATCAACACAATGATGAGCAATAGTCGTCTATGCTATAGTATTTTGATTTTCATTTATCGTGCACTTTATTTTATTTACGAGAATTGTTTTTGTTTAAAGAAAAATCCGTTTTTAAAAACATAAAAACTTTATTTAAACAAAATTTGAAAAATTGACCCACAAATGAGATGTCTCGAGGACCAATACACTTGTATAAGTGAAGAAACAATGAAGTTTTAATTTTTTTTTATGGATAAATTATAAAAATTTAAATAAATTCAAACAAACACGTGAAGGAATCGATAAAATATGTCAAGAAATAAGAAAAGAAAAATAAAAGACTTTAAAGTTGCGCTTGCAAGAATAATTTTGTTACACGCGGCGCTCCATCGTGTGTCATTTGACCTAAACAATGCCGCACGTATTCGTCGAGTACGTACGAATGTATTGTTGTGTAGGTGCTTACGCTGTTTCGAGTCGTAATTTGTTTATTACCCTATGACAGAAGTTAAAATGGGGAAGATCGAAGGAGGAGGTCTCCCTGTACCATGAAAAGTTCGTGGCGGTCTCACCCCCATAAAAAGTTATAGGGGCCATCATCTAGACATTTACCAAATAATTTTTGTATTAAAAATAATACGCATTGTATACCTCCCCCTTTGTTAAGCTGAAGGTATCTCGCCGATGTTTCCAGGTAAAGTTGGATAAATCCTGAGGGGAATTTCTTTCGTTCTTGATCGTTTTCTCATTGGTTTATCTTCTTTCCTTGATCTTTGTTTCTTAAGTGTAGTACACGTATATTTATGTTTTTGATCTTTAATGGTTCTTCAAAATTAATGTCTTTCACGTTAATTTTGTGAAAGAATTCTTTGGGTGCATATTTTTCAAAATGTTCATATGATATGTTCTTAAAATTATATACATTGTTGTCAGTAATTAACCGACATGAAGGTTGCGAGTGTATCAAAAAGTTACCTTTTGATGTTTCACATTTACATGCTCGTTACAGTATTCTAACATTTTTATCTTTCAAATGAGCCAATATTTTTCCACTAATGCAATTGAATAGAGGCACTTTGATCTGTAATACTTTTCACGAATGTACATTTATCGTTCAACTCACAAACATCACTTTTAGCATTCTTGGAAATTAGTAGACCATTTGTTCATTGTCCTTCCTCGTTGGTTCATAGGAATTCATCATGGTGTTGCAGTAGAAATCGTGCAGGAGGAACCATAACAAAATTGTTTGTAGGCAGTGGATAGATTTGAGAAATATTAACTCTTGGTTGCAGGATAGGTATTTTGACAATGTATACAACTAATGAGGAGTTATAGACGTTTGTAATAAAAATAGGGGAAGAACCTCATATAAATGAGAAGAATTCAGGTATTATATTGTCTGCTTCGGAAATGTGTTAAAAAGATGTTGTTTAATTTCAGAAAAGGTATCAAGAGAAATTAATTCGAGGTCTAGGAGATTTTCGTTACTGAAAGTAATTGACCTTTCTATCAGTAAAACCTTTTCTATATCAAAACGTCCAGAATGTTCAGACAGAACTGTGCATTTATGTAAGACTGTGTTCTTTCATTTATTTTATTTAAATTTTCTGTTATACTTTTCGTATAATTTCCCAATTGTGGTAAGTTTTCTTTATCTTGGTTTTGAGATAGTATGCGCAAAACTAGTGAACACATTTTGTCTTTTAATAATGCGTTTTTAATTATGTTTTCTTGAATTTCTTGAAGGTCGTCATCAGGATTACCAATAATGTATTTTATTGCTGTTCCAAGAAAGTTTATAAGTCCTCTCTTTGTGCGTAATGTAGTAGTAGTAATTTTATAGTACAGTCCTTCTAAATACAATGAGCGTTGTTTAATTAATTGAATCATTTGCTGACCATCTCATTCTTATACCTACTCTAATAGTATAACAGTTTGTGCAACGTTTGAATATGTTGAATACAGAGTGGAATGCTTTATATAAAGATAGAAGGAATGATAATGATTTATATGGCTGCCGAATTTAAATGGTTCTCTGTGATATCCATTTTCGTTGTTAATTGGCTCGACTTGAAGAACTAGGCTTGCGAATTATAAAATTTTCTTATTGGTCTTTGAAATGTCTACCTGTAATATTTTCCTTATCTAACAACATAAGTGATGTGTCCATTTGTGAAATATTTTTCATTTTCTTAAATTTATTTTTAAGTTTGTTTCGGTTTTTAGTTTTTATAAAAACTGTTTCTGAACCTTCAATTGCTGGTATATCTCTGCCTTCATTCGTTTTTTTAACCCGATTTTCTCCTATCTCCTTTTCTTTTGCGTAAAGTTCTTCGTAAAACTTCATTATTTTATTTCTTCTGTATTTATTATAGTCTTCATAAATTTTTAAACTTGTTTCTATACGTAACGGATCAATGTCATCGTATGGTCTATATAAAATTTCAAAAGGTGTAAATTGCGTTATGGAATGTATCGAATTATTGTATAGAAATACAGCTGTTTGCATAATTTCTAGTAATGGTTCCGGTCAACAGGTGAATTGCTATTTGAATTGCCCGGGGTAGTGTAATGAATTTCAATTTTATTGAACTCCATGTATTCTTGAATATAAGTCTATTATCAAATTCGGTTTGTCAAGAATGATTTTTTTAATGGTGATTAAAATGTCTTAATTTTCTTAAAATGGTTAGTGAGTTTTTTTTTTCGATGTTATAAATTTGTCCGTATTTGCTAAAAAGATGCAAAAGTGTAAGAAAATCTTGTTTGTTGCAATACATAATGTCGACGTGGATTATTTCAAATGGTCGTTTGGCTAATAATGGTCCTCTCATAATTGGTTTATGTGGTGCCGTTCATATTTTCCTAAAGACATTTGTCGCATTTGGTTATAAAATTTGTAACTTCTTGAGCTATGGTGGGCCAACAATAAAATTTCTGGAAATATTTAACCGTTTGTTGAATTCCATTGTGATTAATATTGTGGTAGTTCTTTACTGCTTCAAGTTGAGTTTCCCTATTTCCCACATTTATCAGATTTTTCGTACATTTGATAATTTTGAAGGGTGAAACTTAATATTCTTTCTTTCAATAACCTAATAGGACACTTTCTATTACTGGATTGTCGAAATATATTGCTATAGATAGTCTTATTTGGTCGAAAATATTCTTTTACTAAGTCTTGGATGTTGTTTTTATTTAGAGTGATCTTTAAAAGGTTTTTTGATTTAAAAATCTGCTTTAGGTAGATGGAGTACGTAGTTTTGGCTGTTCGAATAATTTGGAGTTTGTAGGAATTAATAAGCTTTTCGACAATCGGGAATGCAAACGTATGGCTTTCTTCTGCTGTGTGTTG